GGAATTTAGAAATTGGTGAGAAATGTCCCCCAGTTTAACTTTAAACCAGTCCAGATTATCTTTACTTACTTTACTTTACTTCGGCTATCTCCTACGGAAGGATGAGCCGGCTTCATGAACATCTCGAATCATCGCTGCCCAGGCGCAGCGATCTGATGAAGAGAGTTTATGAAGTTTCATGGGAATTTGGTACGAGTGATGTCCCCAGAATCGCTCGGCCTTTTGTTTGAGAGTGCAGCTCTAGCCTTTACACAACCAAGTGTGACCTACAAGGCAGTAGGAGTGGAGTACGGAGTCCACTATCCATTGGCAGCCGGTGACCGGAGTTCGGTTCATACGCCTTTTTGAATGGGGCCAGACATCCAGGACATCCAACAAGCCCTTTGTCCATACGTCTGCCGGTGAGCTCCAGTGAGCTTCATACGCCAGTCGTTGGAGGTTTGGAATCAGGGTTTAGCCATCTCCCCTAGACTGTCATCCAATAGACAGTCAACCCGGTGAAGAAGGAGTTAAATCAGAGATTTGATCATAGAGGTTTTCATATTGTGACTGGATTTCCACTTTGTTTATTTTCATAGGGATAGTTTTGTATTTCAATCCATACTATAATGCTTCCAACTATAGTTGAGACAGAGTGCAGGTAGATAAATTAATTATATGCTTGTTGATATCTTGAGGAAATTCCAAAATATGTTTCGTGTCTTTTAAAAATTTAGTTAATTCTTGTTCCGTGAAACTTATGGTCTTTTTTACCATATCATTGCGAAATACAGTGAGTTTAATTCGACATACTAAAGATAAATTATCCATAACGGGAATTAGTCTTTGGTGTGTTTCAATAAATTTCGAAAGTTTGTCATTAATTTCATCAATTTCTAATGTCAGGTCACAAAATCAATATTAATGACTGTTTCACGATTATTTCACATAACTCAAATTCAAGGTTACTGAAGGTGATGAAAGCACTTTGGATTAATCACATACAGCCTACACTGTGTGTACAAAAAACAATAGACTTCAACCTTCGCCTACCTATTGAAATATGATTGGTCATTAGTATGTACTTTTGTTTTTTATATAACTGAGTCATGAACTTTATTTTATTGTTGTTAACCATGTTAGTTGTAAAGCGGTTGTAAATAAACTGCGAAATGATATCATCTCGCGAAATTTGTCTTCTAAATACCTTATTCAAACAAGTATTATTATAAATTCAGTATTTTCTTCTTCAAAAATTAACTTAACGCTACAGAATTAATGATTATTAGTATATTTAGATCAGTGCTAATATATACCCGCTTTTACAAACATGAATCTGTAGTGATTTTATAGAATGATGTTCATCATAAAATTTTAAGTAACATAGAAAAGAATCCCCTGGATAAGAAGACAAACTTTAAAAAAAAACCTGTTCTAAAGGATGAATACCATAGAAGCGAGAGTAGTTAACAGTAAAGTACCAATTTTACACGTCAGCATTTGTTCGCATTATGACAGAAGGTCTAAATTCCTATAATTTTCTACAGCAAATAAAAGCGCACTGAAGTGCAGCGACTTCCATTGGCATAATTTTAAGAGCACAGAAAAAATAAACAGAGAAAAGACGGAATATGCTTAAGGAGGTCGAAGAGGTTCGAGAGAAGAATTATAAGAGAGAGAAAAACAGCGTAACATTCTCACTAGTAAACTTGTATACAAGCAGCGTCTCCATAATGGACTTATGCGAATAACACAAGCGTTTCATACTTGATACCTATGAGTGTACGGATATTACTGGTAACTCAACATCGTCAATTACCACCAAGCAATAGGTCAGAGGATTCAAGTGGATCTTCGATCGCATAACGGAGGAAAACGTCATTTATAGGCTAGCAAGCTAAAACCCAAAACTATCTTGCCCAAGTGCAATATGTTAACTTAAATCAATAAGTACTATGTGTTATAAAGTAACAGAAAATACTGAAAAGTCAATTAGATATACTTGTAAATATCCAGAATTTCCAATCGTCTTTCCAAACAAAAATGTTTCAGATGAAATTTGCTTCAATAGAGGATTAAGTGGGTGAGTACTTATTACGACAAAATTTAAATTTACCTATACTATTCCCTTGATTTGAATCCTATTTATAGTCTTTTTGACAATCGATGATGATTCTGATAACAAACAGCCAAAAGACTTAAAAAGAATAAGCATAATGACGTTGTGAATCCTGTTACTCCAGATTCGAAACCGATTGTATCAAGTTAAGGGATAAAATCCAATCGTTTAAAAATGTATAGATGGATAAGAGTGAAAAACAGAAAATGACAGGCTTAAAAGTTGATGGTTACCATGATCTCATAAAAGGCATCGATTTTCTGTTGTTTTTTTTCTGAGAACAGATAACTTCACATTTCTTATATGAGGTTTATCACTTTTACAATCAAATCAAGCAGGGAAATAGGTAATTACTTAGGGTTTTTTTAACTTTCCATTAAAAACGTTGGCTGTGAGTATAGTGAAACGAAAAAAAAGTTTTCATCACTTTCAAACTAGTTCTGTATATGATACTCTTATTTGACCAGCTTAACTCAATATTTGTTTTCTAGTGATTCTACACCCTGAACAGTATATGGATTGAGCAGAGATTTTGTTTGATTGGTTGGAGGATTTCATCATGAGCTGACATTGGTTAAAGAGCCATTGGAAAACCTGGGAGTATTGGACGGCTGTTCCGTCCTAGTTTGGGACTCTACAGTAGTACGCACCCACACCATGGAGTTGGAACCCAGGACCTTCTGGTTACAAGGCGAGCTCGTAGACCACTAAGCCACAGGGATCCGATCCAATGGCCCATGAATTCTAACTTCTGCCAATTAACGATATAGCGCGACCACTTCGTAACGTCTTCGATGAATAACTGTTTTGCTGGAAAAATTAACTCGAAAAACAAGTTAAAAAACAGTTCAAAGAATTACATGCATAATCCGAACAAATTCTAGTGCCCATGCACATTGGTACACTGCATAATATTAAAATACATCTGAGATGAACATATGCTTCACATTGAAAACAGAATGGAAACAAACATACTGATTCATACATCTGAACACCGTAATTCCTTTTACTACAAACGAGTATAACTTATCACATTTGGGTTACACAGTAAAAGAAGTGTGCAATAATTAATACAAGTCTTTATAGTGTACATACAACAATGACCAACCCATCACCAATGACTACCATTCATCCTCCATAATAACAACAACAACAACCATATGAACAACTTTTTAGGTTATAAACAGGTAGAAGTTTTCACATTCTGTAACAAGCAAATGAATTTTCATGTACTTCTACATATCGACAACCGCATCTTGCTGAAAAGCTACAGAAAAATATATTATAATTACTACAAAATTATCCTAAATGTAATATGGCATCCACAATCCTGATAGCCGTATTACAGACAACTAAAAACTTCCATTGTAGAATTGAAATTCAACAAATTATGTTAACAGTTCAGCCACTGACAATTGGAAAGCCTCAAACGAAGAAACGAAACTACAGGTCAAGCTATTTAACACTTCACTGGAATAAAGACATCTACACCAGAGTAATATGGAACTCAAACAACTCATACATACAAGTGGATGTACCTCTTTTTCACCAAAAATTTAAGCATAGATAATTTGCTTCATTGGAAATCAAATGATTTTCAACTGGTTAAGTAGAGATCCTTCTGGAATCAGCATTTTGGGCCTTATTTTCAATAAGTCACATAGCTGTACAGAGCGGTTTGACGAATATGGTAAAGAAACAGTCATTCTATCGGCATATAACTAAAGCTATAGAGGTGAGTATGTAGTATGATGCTACCGTGACTGGCAGGTCTAGACTAGGATTAGTTGAATACATAGAATGTGTGGCCATTCAAGCAACGGTGAAACAATCAACCACCAAAAACTGACTGGTAGGGAATATTTAAATGTGTCACATTGAAAGTCGCGTTAAAGTAAGAAAGTAATGAATATTATGACGCTTTTCTAACTTCAATAAGTTTAGTGATTATATCGAACGTCAAAATAAATAAAAATCAAATAATAAGAGTAGTAAGTATATGTTACGAGAAACTCATTTTTTTATAGCGGATTACACTCTGCATAATTTGAAAAAAGTTGGCTTCTATTATTGTACGTCATTTAAGATTAAATCCGTCCTAATTGTAGTCTCCGTTTTCCAGTGACCATAAATTCATTATTATTTAACCCAATAAAAATTTGATTTATCTAGACACATTTCATGGTATGAAAATTTAAAAATAGGATAGACAAATAGAAAACGACTAACGGAAATAGTGTATTGAAAAGTATACAAGAAAACTAGGAAACAATTACGCTCTAGTGAACAGCTAGCAAGATTCATACGACTGCATTCACATGAAGTAAAGGTATTAAGTTGATCATTCATAATCCCTATCAGTAACCTGGAGGGTAGGAAACATGCAATATGATTTGAAGAAGTTACATGAATGATAAACAAGTATGCTCAAACGCATTTCTATTAACTGTCAATATAGATAGTTAATAAAAATGAAATATACTCATTTACTATCAAGAAGATAAAGAAAAGGGAACGAAACTAAAGAACATGTAGAAACTAAGACCGTACAAGTATCCAGTACAAGCGAAAAAGGTTATGTGGACTAGAAGATTTAACGTGCATTTTCTCCAACTCCTTCATTTTTTTTTTTTATTTAAAGGGAAAAAAAGAAACTCAGATGCCTAGTTTGATAATTTACTCACTTTCGAGCGAACTTTCCGCTTTCACAATGGTACTACATGCCAATAATTCTTTAAATGAAAGATCAAATTAAAAGTAAAAACAAAAATCGGTATCAGCGAAACTAATCAGTGTTCATTGCATTCAAATCACAGGTGAAACATACTCTGATGACGATATTATATAAAAACAAAAGCAATAATGAAATATAAATTATATAAAAGCAACAAATGTTACTAACTTTTCACATCAGCTGAGTCTTCCATTACAGTAACAGTACTGTCAGAAGGTTCCTTTATGCCATCATTAGACTTTTTAGTTACAGAAGAATGACTTCCAGGGACAGTACCTCGACCAGCTTCAAAAGACATGAAAAAATACATACAAATTTAAAATCCAGCTAATGAGAATAATCCTGGTACAATCACAGACAAAAAGCACACAACACAAATGATTACAACACGAACAACAAAAGCTTCAAGACACAAACTGACATGGATAAATAAATAAACAACAACAATACACTACACTGTCATTAGTTGTGTTACAAACAATCCAGTAGAAAGAAGACAGTTACCAAAGATAGATTAAATTTGATTATTCAAAGAGCAGAAAAGTTGATATTCACACAGATGAAATATAACTTAAATGCTCCTGAAAAAGATCTGGCTCAATGGAAATCATCAAATGGATTTTATCACTTCTTAACAAAACAAGTGCTATTTATTAAAAAAAATACTAACACTAATGAACAACGCAACAGTCCTTCGCAGGGAAACTTTGAAGTAAACAACAGCACTGAACAATTAAGTGCACGTTAATTAAGATTTTGATGTAATCAACACAAAAAAGGCTGACAATTTCATCATAGCGTTTAACTATCGGTTCAATTAGAAATTATGCCAACATCAGTGATAACAGTTGAATTTGTGAACACTCTGAAAACATTCTGTGTACACATTTTACTGGATTACAACTTTACAAACAGAAACAAGTATATGTGTATTATAACACGTGAAGATATTATAAACACCGTACTTAACAAAGATACCCTGTGTATATATTTTGACAACAGTTACAAAAGTAACTCAAAACATATGATTTTTATACTGAAAAGCATTCCTCTATCATCATTTATAATCGAGGAAAAAATAGGCTGTCATTTCAAATAACTTACAACTATCATCCTTTTTCACTATAGAGGTATGTAGGAAAAACAGAGGCGAAACCATGCGAAAATGCGAAAAAAAAGGGGGAAAAGAGAGCAAAACAGAGATGAAATAAAATGTGGTATTGACAGATAGCTTGTGACAGACAATAAGAAAATTACATGCAGTAGCAGCATCATAGTGATTTTTTACAAAAAAAAAAATTGTAATATTATTATCATCATCATCAACTATACAAATGTATTTCGATGACTATTAAATAAAGGAATAAATTGAATTATGAAAGGGTAGAGGTGGGTAGTGAGACTGACATTTACCAATAAGGGTTGAAAGCTGAACTTACTGGAGAAATTACGTGTGGCTAGCATAGTTGTAAGTATAGCACCCTAAAAATGGAAAAAATAGGACACAAAGCAAGAAAGAAAGGAAGAGGTTATATGTGTAGATAAGCTTACATGTCTGTAACACGGACAAGTGAAATTGCTACTAATAATCTCGAAATAAAGGATAAAAATGTTTTAAGGATTACACAACTGAGCTTAATCATAAAGCAGATAGTATGTAATAAAGGATACCATGATAGTTTCGGCACCAAATTCAAGACTACATAAGAATGGAGTAATCGACTTATTTGCAAAGAAGTTTAACGTAAAATGAGAAGAATATCATATATGAAATTTAGAAAATAGTAATTCAGTAGTAAATATAATGATATCAGTGATTATTTTCTACAAGTAGTAAAATTATGTATGATCTACACAGCTATCAATTTAGTTGCGACATATCAGAAATATAACCTCGATCCTGAAGACCAAGATCTTGAAAGCAAATGACTTTTAGAGGAAGGAAAAATTTTGTTGGTATTAAATAGAAAACATTTACGAACATTAAGTGAAAGTTAATGTTTATCAAGTTCGACATAGAAGAAAGGTGTATGATAGGTAGGAATTAAGAGACAATCATAGCAACGATGAAAACCTAAGACACCTTCCTCCCATCTTAATGCTCTGGAGAACAAAAATATCCCAAATTTATCTCTCAAAAATCTGATTTCTGAGAATGGAGAAAGGATATCCACAAGTGTAAAGTACCACAACAAGAATCTGGATCAAGCCTGCTGGGATTTAGTCGGTCATATGTAAGATATGCACTTCAGCTACAAAACTGATCAAACGTCCTAATTTTTGTGAGTGAATCCCACCAATGAAATGCAACCCAAACAACATATCGAAAGCAGATAAAAATACAAAGATCAAATATTTATATACAATTGGTGAGATTATGCACATGATTATATCGGAAGTTTCACAAAACATACAAGGAAAGTAGACGTCGATTTCTGATTTTAAGAATGAACTTCATATAATCTAGTTCTATGCATGGTCTATTTGGCTTTGTCGATGCTCAGTCTGAACTCTTCAATGAGTTTTAACACCGCCTTGAAATGGTTCACACGGTCACTTTCTCTTTGACTGTAGATGGCGAAGTCATCACCGTACACCTCCACATTCTTAAAGTTTCTAAGTAACAACTTCATCAGTAGTCTGAATGTAAACCGTGGCTTCCTAGTCCAAATGAGATAAGTTTAAACCAACACTGCTTCTGTCCCACGATGGATGCCGTCTTAAACCTGTCACCCTGGTTTATTGGTATCTGCCAATATCCTGACCGGAGTTCAAGCACTGTAAACAACTTCGCGATTTGTAGACGATCCAAGGTCTCTACTACAGTCGGCATGGCACATGGCGTCAGCTCTGTCAGGCTGTTTAGCAGTCGGAAATCAAAGCAGAACCTGTACTTCCCATTCGCTTTTTTCGCTAGAAGAACTGGAGTTATATGGACTATCAGCTCCTTCAATAATGTCATCCTCTAGCATCTCCTTCACTTGTCGCTCGACTTCGCCTTCTAAATGACATGGGGCTCTTCGCATTGTGAATGGTCCTATTTTCCGACCGGCCACAAGGATCTCATATCTCACCATTTCACAATAGCCGTAGAGGTCCCCATCCCCAGTGAACAGATGGTGGTATTCTCTAGCTAATACTGTCATATTCTGTATTCTCGACGCCTTAACCCCTGCTATCTCACTTGTCTAATACATGTTGATAGTACCGTACTTCGAAATCACTGCCCTCTCCTTCGTGGTAACTACCCCACCGACCTCTGGCAGAAAATCAGCCCCAAGTATTGTTCGCCGTAACTCTGGCACATCAATGAACGGGAGCATTACTTCGCGATCGCCAATAAGAACGCTACATGGCCATGATATTTAATGTGTATCCACTTACCGTTTGAACTCTCAATGAACACGGTCGTACGCTCTGACATAGATTCCTATATATTAGTGACACTGCAACCCCTGTATCTATCAAACATACTACTTCTGGGCCATTCACTCGCAACTTAGAATACATGGACCCTTCTCGAATACTTCTACTACTTGTAGTCTTATAGGAGAGAAATAACACACATTATACTGTCTGGAAATTTTTCTTCACCTTCTTTCTGGCCAGTGCCTCCTCCAGTGTCCTGTTTTATTACAATCAAAGCATTGGTTTTTCCTAGCACTCATTCCGTAGTGCCGCCAATTCACGCTGCAACTCTTCAATTCTCCGTCCCCATCCATTCGATTTCTGTGGCTCTATTGCGGCTACCGTTGTGCTCCAGCAGCTATCTGGTCACCTTCACTAGCTAAACGATGTTCATGGTTTGTGCAGCGTTAACCATTTGTAGTTGCTGAGAAATGTGGTCTGGGGACACTCGATGAAATGGGACGTCAATAACTGCGACTCCTAATCTTCATCCAGTGTGGGGGGTGAGCCACGCAATAGATTCGTCAGCTTCACCGCCAACACTAGTGCGTCTCTCTGTTCAGTCCCAGCTGCACTGCACGGAACTGATGAATTGCCAACTGCTTGTCCGTCGGGCTGTCGAACTGAGCCACCAATCGGTCAACTAATCCATTCGGGGTATCTTTTTCACCTGACCACTCCTTACCGCTGTATGTCACCTTTGCTCGACCTCTTAGCAGCGTCCACAGCACCACGCCTTCTCTATCATATCCTTGATGACCACCAACTCGATGGCAGCATCGAAGTCCTGCAAGAAGCTCTGAATGTCTTCTTCTTTGAAAGCAGCCGGCCATGGAATCTTCACTGTCTGGAAGCAGCGACAGCAATCTTAACGGTAGAGGACAAGAGACTTGGTAACAGAACGTTTACCTGGAATTCGGTATCTCTATATGAACAAATTATGTACACCTTATCTGAAATTCGTCATTCGCACAGATGTTCCGTGTTGTGTTACTTCTGACCTTCTTACTGTGTTTCTTTGTCTTCTTTTCGTGTCTCCCACGTTTCGCAGCAACGTTGGTTTATTTCCTCTCTTTGGGGTCAAATCTATCACTCAGCTATTTGACATTTTGTGCTGATAAATATCTCTTTATGTAGTTCTGATAAATCTTGTCAGTAGCACACGCCACGGTTTTGTTTTTTATTTTCTACTTTATTTTGCACAATAAATGAGAAAATTTTTATGTAACACCTTATAATGGTTTTAATGTACTAATTTTTAGCAGCAAAAAGTTGTCACAACAGAAAAAAGGAGTTCAAAGATATTTTCGAAACGAATAGAAATGAGTAAATCTCTTGTTTTAAGTGACTAGTGTTTATCCATATATTTGAAAACTCCTAAAATTGGTGGAAGTAAAGGCATAAGGTCTTTCATAATACAAGACAAAAAAGGAAAATCTACACCTGAAATTCTTCAGATTCCTGAATTATTTTTCGTGCAAACCCACCTACAAACTGTCCAAATTTATTATGTTGCAGGGAGGATTAAAATGAAAGAAATCGGAAGCTTGCTAATCAAGGATGTGGAAGCAGCTCATTAAGCCACTGTTCGTTCACATCAACTGTATTTATGTGGTTGAACTCCATGTAACCGCCATAACCTATACAATACAGTCCAGATACGACTCATGTAAAGTGGAAGCATTCAAACCTTACTTTCATTTTAACTATAATGATGCATTTCTGCAGTTGAAATACCTTTTGTACTTTTTTCTTGATGCATCTAGTAATATGAGCTGCATTTTTTTCATTTCGTTGTACCAATTTTTATTACCTTCTACTAAGCAGTAATATTGAACCGAATATATTAATAATGGCTCACAGACTCACAGTCGTGATTATTTAGAGTTCAAAAAAACTTAATAATAAAGAGAAGGAAACAGGGTACAACACAAAAAATGTCAGCGACACTTAGCATGAGAAGTTCAGTGGTGACCGTGAAGGCATTACATTGTTCAGGACTCTATAGTCACCATCAATTAAAACGATAACTTTGATGTTTCCCGGTCAATACGCTACTGGTACGTGTATTAGCAAAAACCAGTAGTCTGAACAAGCTACTTCAAGTTAGTTTAAACTGTCAACGCAGAAAATGAAAATTTCAAATGAACAGCATTGTTAAAATATTTTTCTAACCACATACCTTTAGTTTACGTCTTGCATTGAATTTCTTTAGGCACTCCACCGTTTCCTGGCGGTGCACAAGGGAAGCTACACGTTCTCGTTGCTTTAAGAAAGGAAAATTACAGAATTTATTAGCTGAATAATTATGTAATAATAAATATCAATGTACAGAATCAATCGTTTAACCTAAGCTATGAAGAAATTAATAGTTTATCCAAATTTAAACTTTCGGCTTTTTGATTTGATGAAATACACTTACTACAAGGATTCATTGGATCAACTGCCAACATTCACTCCATTCAATCCAATCCGAACAGTCGGATATCATAACCTCTCAAATATCAGAAGCGGATAACAACAAAACATATGTAGCCGTCAACTCAGGTGTCAAGTATATTATTACTCTCCATATTTCATTATACGCTTATATTTCTAAAATACATACCAACGTGTCATGGTTCGTCACCTGATGAGCTAATTCATTCTTATGATGGATGGTGTCACGAAATTTGCATACCCCAATATGTAAGAAGGATACAGCAGAAAAATTGATCTTCTGACAAATAGCTTATTAATCTCATTTAATTAGTCTCAGTCTAGCTCCTTCATTAATGAGATATGCAATAAAAAGAAATAAATGCCTCATTCTCATGATTATGAATGTTAGTACTCAATACAAAATAAACATTCACAAAAAGTCACAAAACAGATTTAAGAAAAAAACTTGTGCAACTGCACCAGCAACACAATGTAAAAAAGAAAGCAACACGACAAAGAAAAATGACACCAGCACCACTCTTGAAAAATGTAAAAGAACATGTCGCGTGCAGATGGTGGTAGAACAAACGGTTTTTGTTTATAAACCCATTAGGATTGAAAAAAATGGTATTTAGTCGACAAATAATTGCTGTAGGTAAGGTTGAATAGATGTTGACTGGACTTAGTATATTTGTGTGTGTGTGTGTGCCAGTGTACTGAATTAACCATTGATTAGCCCACCTAAAAACTGGTTAAAATGCTGTTTCTTCTCTAGACAGATTGATTGTATGATGAGATTGCACGCTTAACACATGATAGTCATGTGGTAAGGTGCCAATTCAATCTGGCGAATTCAAACGTAGGAACTGACAAAACATCAATCCGAGCGACATACTCATTGTCTACAACTAGTGACAAAAAAGCTGGTTCCATAAACAATGCATGGATGCGCACGTAATATGGTGTCAGATGGTATGAAGTAGCTGGTTGTGATTCTTTGGCACACAAACAACGTAATTTAACTAGTGATCAACAGTATCGTATGCGACACAGAGAGAAAGATGACAAATCTTTGTAAGGTTGAGAAAAGGTTAGACTCAATCCAGCTAACGAGAAACACGCTTAGGATTTCAGGGGAAAAGTGATTTTTGTTGGATTCTAATTACTAATAAAACACGGTACATACTAATAAGTACGAAATTCATGCCAACCATATAGAACATCACTACGATAAATTAATACACACCATGTTTAGTTACGTATATCAGCGCAAATTATGCACATAAACTGCCGAATATTTCGTTCTCAATAGAAATGCACTAAGATTATTGCCATTGTACTTTTATATATGCTTTGCCGAAGTTTGACAACTTGAACAGCCTCAATATTGTGTAAAGTTCTAGCTTGATAAATCAGAGAGTTTGTCATAAAGGTTTTTCTTCATGTAACTGGGAACAGTAGCATACAAAAGTGATGTCTCTTGTTTAGCAAACAGACGTATTAGACTATGAAGCAATTAAAAGCAAAGCAAAGGCTAAGCTGACATTCTTCCACAAAATATAACAAGGTATATCCTCGGAAAAGTAAACCTATTTGAAACACGTATTCATAAATAACGGGTCTATGTGTATAGTGTGCATTGGTTAGGAACGGATTACCACCACTTCACACTAGCGATAAACAGACTAAGATTTAAAAGTATATCGAAAAATTATTCTGACCAGAAAATCAAAAAAAGAAGAGAAAGCCTACGCTATTTTCTTATTTTTAAAGCTTAATAGTCAGTATATCAAATCGCAAGGCAAAGAGAAAGTAGATACAAATCTCTCAGTACAAGATTAAATACTACGCTGACAATAAAAATGTTACATTATAAGACATTACGTACGTTTGCTACGAACTAGGTATCATACACGTATACAACTAGACTCGTAAAAGGAATATTAATCAGCATTTCACTTCCTTTTAAACTGCTTTCATTCAGAATAAATAACTAACAGGGATATTTCTCATTTACATTCTTTACATCTTCATGAAATGATGAAATGGATTAAAATAGGAAATATTCTAAAAGACTATACCTTAATCTACTTATTTGGAGGTAACAAAAACTATTAATGAATTGATAAATAGCAAAGCTACTGATATTTGCACACACATACACAAACATGAAGATCATTAAATTATTCTGCAAGCGACAGGATTAAAGGAAGGTAAGAAATCACAATAGTCATAAGCCAAAGAATAAACAAAAAGCATTTATAGGAAATGAATGTAGCGCGATCTGAGGGAAGATTAGAAATCTGTAGAGAATAATTTATGCTCTTCTTTCCTCCCCTTATACTTCTTCCCCTATCCATGTTGTTCTGTTCCAATCAAAATACTTGTATGGGAAACGAAAGGAAAACGGAGAACACAGAACAAAACAAAACAAAGAAAGTGGGCAATTGAATGGATATTGAGGTCATGGGCAAACTTCATTTAACAACAACAACGACAACAACAAAATAACAACCTAATTACTTAGCATTTCCACTTCTTGATGACAGGCACAGGTTGAGACTAAATGAATAGCTATCGATCTTATCGTTAGGGAAGTAATTGAATTCTACCTAAACATGATTAAGTTTTGCTTCAATTTTGCCGTTATAAATGAGGCTAAATGAATGACAGAATATAGGCTATTTATGTGTGTTCACTAAACTATCACATATATAATGTGTTCATTTTGCTTTAGACGAGACAGATAAACATGATACACTTATCTCGTGTCCAATAATGATTTGAGGTAGAAATTTCGTCGTTGTTATTATAACTTTTATGGAAGCTGAATAATAAAATTTATGTAAATTTCGGGTCAGATAAATATAAGCTAACAAATCATCACAAGCCCCTCTAATATTAAAGAAGACATATGGAAACACACGAGCCATTAACGCACTTACTATAAGTGGTCTTAGCATTTCATTTTTAAAACAAAAATTGGTTCAGTCATTATAATGGATTTTAAAAATAGTGACATTCTGAGAGTTGAAACACAAATAAGTCCAGTGAATTGACTCATTCCCAACGTCTTTTACACTTCCGTTCAGATGCCCATCGGTTTCCAGTTAACACTACTTTCACATATGAGATGAGACAATATTTCACGTAGCAATCACCGACATCAGATCAAAAATAGATACAAATAGACTTCAGACAAGCAAATATAGTTGAGGCTGAGCAACGTAGCACGACCTGATGGTTTGAGTCGAGATCTATCGAACAACGGTGATACACTATTGGACACATTAACTATGGTATCAGCGGTAGTCCTAACGGGCTGGTATATATTCATAGTCATTCGAGTTTACTGAAAAAACTAAAATAATCTTTGGCTAACATAATATCTACGAGTCTACGTTCCATAGTTCTTCGAAGACTAAGTGGGTTGATGAAAACTAGGCGGAAGGGCATTGGTTCCAGGACAACGGTATACATTCCGGTACCCAATACTTGCCATTTTTGTAGACCTGATGGCAGCAATTGACTGTATCTAAAGGGATGACAGTCAGAGGTATCTATCCCTAATGCCCCACTTTATCAATTTTATTCAGTTATATCTGAGATATACTGAAACATGCAACTATTATCAACTTTGATGTTTCAGAAACAGACTTGAAATAGTCTCATTGGCATAGAGAATACGTCGACGATATTGTCCCCTAGGTGAGGGTGCTGATAAAATACAGACTTAGAATGCAGTGAACAAAGATTTGATAATGTGATTTACCTTTATGAAATTCAAAGTCATATTACAACAATGATCTGTACCTATTCCTAGGGAGTGAGATGTTTGAATATATTGACTTATTTTAGTCGCAACTACTATAATAAATAGTATAAGTACTAATGAAATTTCACCACCAATACAGAAGGCTCGTTTGACATTCTACAACTTGCATCAACTATGAAGCACGTGTGATATCTAGTTATTCATCAGAGGGCTTGTGCAACAGTTCGTTCTGTCCCATGTTACCGCTGTAAGACAGTGCTTGAAGGTAGAATATGGGAAAACACTAGTGGTTTTCGACCATACTTGCTTCCGTTTAATCCCTCCTGTTATATGGAAAAATATGGTTAGTGATCATGAGGTTAGGCATGGAGAGAAAGAGAGAGTCAACTGATGTCGTGAAGGTTCGTCGGTAGAGATGGTTAAGACGTGTTACATATGTCGACCCACCTCCCCTGACAGTTAATTTCAGCTGAAAAAGGACAAGGTTTGAAATGAAACAGGTAGATCGGCAAAAAATATTGCACTAGTTCATTAGGTCTTTGATTGTTGTTTAGCGTGATGTGAAAAGGAGTAAATTGTTTCGCTGAAAACACTGCAAATCGATGACTGAAGATTTCGTGAAATGGCTTAAAATCGCCCCCAAATGATGCATATTTACGCGCTCTTTTTCATCTTTCAGATGCTGAAAATCTTCATTAATCTTCTAATTGTTTTTTCCCTGATACATTCCCATCTGTTGTAGCTTTGATACATATACATTTTCTACTTTGATAAGGAATTTTCGGAAGTTTTGCAACTTGAACTGATTTATTTTCGTGCTAAGTAATACGTAAACTTATTCAATTCAGTCTCAATCCACACCAAACTAAGCCATTAAAATTTGGCACCTTACTTCAGAGACGAACAGAAAACCACTTCACTACAGTTAATATACTATGATATACACATGTAAATAGTACGTTGCACGACTGTATGATGGTATACTTTGTAATAAACCACATAAGCATATGGAGATGGTGATGAACAAACTGTGCTCCGGTGTTCTGTTGGTATTGCTGAAAGTTAATCAAGGATAGCAAATTTGTATTTAAATTTCCTCGCTAACCACTGTATCAGTGTTAAATACGACGACAAGAGCGTATAACTATCCGCCTTCTGTCTATTAGATGCAGTGCCACAGAACACCGGTATTAGGGCAGTAATTCTTCATGAGTTCGTTTTTAGGGATTTCATTTTTTCTTCAGGTTTGACCGCGGAGTGAGATCAGATAGAGGACCATTGAAAATCAGGGAGCAGTGGACAGATGTTTCGTCCTAGTTTGGGGCTCACCGTAAGCTCGCATAGACCGGGTTTCGAACCCAAGACATCCCTGTTACGAATCAACCTCGTAGACCATTCAGCCACTGGGACCCAACTTAATGTCTAGTCCACGAGTTCCAGCTTCTACTAATTGGTGATTTTAGTGAAACCACTAGCTAATGTCGTCGGTTGCTCTCACTCCCGACCGGGTGGGCCTCAACTGCCAGGGACTTTTCAGTAAAAGTCAAGGTGACTTCGTCCTAGCGAGCAAGACAAATGAAAAACTTCTCAAATAGTTTTCAAAGGTACCTAAATGATTCAATATGAAACTATCTATTTTACCCAACAGGACTATTATCTAAAGGACTATTAAAAAATTTATTAAGAAACTAATTTCTCAAAAGAAGCAATACACCATAAGTATCAGCTTGCCACAACAAAATCACAAACCACCTAAAGTGTTAGACACTGAAGTGATTCAACTAGTCAGGAAAATGTGCATTCGATAAATACGTTTTGACAAAATGCCGAAAGTTCAATCAAAACATAACTGAGCCGGAAAAAAGCATAGTGAACTTAGAAACAGTAAACACAAATCAACGTAAATAAAAAGGCAATAATAAACGAAAAATTGTAAACAGTACGTCTTCTCTATTTACATCCACATCTTAAATATTAAATCAAAATTCACAGAACCACTGATTCCAAGTGTCCACCACAAACCTTTTAAATATTTCAACTGTGTCATATGTGAAATAAGTCGCCAAATGTAAAATCAGTCTTTTTTTATGCAAAAGTAGTAATCAATGTTGCATTAAAAAAGCGAATGGCATGTGTTAAGTTGCTTGATTTTAAATAATAACGCTGTTACACACAATCTGTTATTTGGCACAGAAAGATAGTAATGCATGTTAAATACGTGAAGTGAGGCTTACATCTAAATTCTGGAATGTGAAATTAATTAGAGACAAAGGTCAAAGTCGAACTCTTATGAACAACATACACACCAAATAAATTTTTTTAAAGATACCCGAGTCAAGAGAAAATTATATTCGATTAATTTATTATGAAATGAAATGTTTGGTATTGAATATGCCGTTGACAATGATCCGCACTCATTGTGTGGGGTCTAATGACACCACCTAACTGTCATAAAGCTGTAACTAAGTAACCAGAACTTGAGTATTCGAGTCAATCAATCTGAGCCCCACAAATAAAAAATACTTAAGGCAGTGACAATATGCTGAACTATAGAAACTATGGAGTGTGGAGCAATTTTTTGTCTAACTCCACAGATATACTGAAGCCCAAAAAATTGACCGTTAAGGATTACCAAAACGCATCAAAACCTTCATATCACAAGGATTGAATACGTGTTAACGACGTGAACCTGTTAGCACCTTAGATACATCGGAAAATATGTTGATGCATTAACGGGACACGATTAATGACATTTTGAAATTTGAGCATGAAATCCTCTATCCTCTATTGGAACATCTATCACAAATCAACTGAAATAACTGAAATTTCATTAAATTAGACAGTTTGATGGATAAATACATCACTATTCATACAAAAAACATACAGTAAAGCATGATATAACTATCCTTGATGTTACTAGTCTTAACGTAGGGTAATGCAGAACACATCGTAACTACCTACTTTATTCGCACCTCAAAAACATCAAGATCAATGTACAAAAAATAAAATAGTTAACAACTGAAAACTAAGCTTTAAACGTACACAAATCCAAGGATGTTTGAGGGCTTCTGCTGCTGTGATTCGCCTCGAAGGACTAACAGTAAGCATCAAATTGATGAGATTTTTCGCTTCAGGAGTAACTGTGTCCCATTCGGGCGAAGGATACTGAATAATTGTAAGCAAAAAAAGAAGATAAATAACTTTATCTGGTTAATGAAAGTATGCATCTAAGTTAAGAAAAGTTGCAGATCAACAGATGAGTTCAAACCCAACAGTTTAACCTCAATCTGGGTAAACGCGTAGTAAGTCAAATTTCCTTTTAATAGATAGCTCCTTAAAAAATACAGAGCTTATATTTCTCCTAACTTTAGTTACCAATTTAGGTTTAAATATCTTACACCTAAATGTCATAAACCATACTCTAGACTGTTACTGCTAGATGATTATCTGATAGCGTACTACACATTAGCTGTCCCTACTGTGGAACAGCAAGTTGGAGGATGACTGCGTTTTCCAAATCAAACAAAATTTGAATACAAAAAACATTAAGCTAGCTGGTTTAACTTTGTTTACAACTTTACAGACGCATACATTAGTGTACAAATCTAAAGGCACCAGAATTACTAATTGCATCCCAAATAAAAATCGACTGTTGGATAATTTTAATAAACTGTTCAATGTGATACCTAAAAGTTAAAGAGAAATAAACCAACTTTTGATTATCTCTTAGTACTAGGCCGAAATTGACGAGATGACTACAATAAATACTCCTGGGATATCAATGCACAATAATAACCATATAATAATTTACTCCTGTAATCTGACCTAAATTCCCACTTACTCCTGAACTGATGCTCTAGATAATGCAGAACCGTGCAAATGTTATCACTTCATTCAAATAAGTGCCTAGTCTTTAGTCAGTATCCACTCCGTCTGAAAATCTCGAGTAAAAAAAGTGCAGCTAGTCTGGAAAAACACAAATGATGGTGCTTTGCTTTGAGAAGTTAGCTTCAAATGAAGTAGCAGTTATGAAGAGTTAGACACGTACAAATGACTTAGACTAAATCCGGCAAGTCGAATTTATTTGAAAACAACTATAACTTAGGTCTAGATTGACACATCTTTCTATTTTTTGTTGATTTTCCACGTGACATGCACTCGGGAAAATATAGCGACTGAAAACGACACACTTATTCCTCCGGCTCTACATATTTTACCCCCGAACTGCTTACTAGCCTATTATAAAAAATGCTTTAAGCAAAAAAGGGTTCAAATTATTGACAAGCGACATTTATGATATGAGTATATAGTGGAGATAAAGGTGGTTGGTTATCTTCCCTGAGATTTGAAAATATTAACACCTATTTTACATTGAGACGAAATCTTACTACAGATAAAGGAACTCAACATGGACAGCATTTGAATCTACGCCACTTAGATTAGATTTGAAGAACGAATATGCATTATCATGATGGTAAAAAATCCAAAGAGTGCCTTCAACGAGTAAGATTTGTATGTCTACACCTTTAACTAACCAGGAGTTAAAGAAAACAACGAGTTTTGAAAATTGATCGCCACAATAACATTGAGGACATTGTGTATTGATGTATAATCAAAGACAAAATACAGGCTTGAATCAAATCAACGGTGCACGGGAATACTATAATTTATTTTGAATGAATTTCAGTATTCGTTGTCTTGATTTACAACCAAGCATAGAAATTTGCCCTAACTACTTTAATTTCTCCTCCGGTTTAACGCAAATGATTTTAATTTATAAGTCACTTGAAGGCTAAACGACTCAGAAGATGAACGTCATGACACCCCACCAACTGAATGTCACTTCTATTTTGCCAACTATGTCACGTGATCGTTGCTTATGTTTACGTAAACGCCCACCACTCAAGGCTAATAATGTGTTTTTTCCTTTTTATCTTCTTACATACATTTGACTGTGGCTAACTGAACACTTTCTTTCACACGTTAATACTATTCAGCATGTTTGCGCTTTTGCTTGAACACCTGTTTTGTATTTACAGTCTTCAGAAAACTAATATTTTTGTATTTCAGAAACAAAGTTTTAAGCTACCTGAGTTTTAACAATAGTTAAAGCAAGATTCTGTGTCGTCAGTATTGACTGTGAGAACTAGGACACACGCAGACGATTAAATCCTACATCAGGGTAGACAAAATAACGTGTACAGTCGCCGAATAGTTACAATACAGAAGTCAGTTTAAATCAGCGTACTGCAGATCACTAAAACAGAATACTTCTATTGTTTCGAAAAGGTAAGCATCAATGGATAAATAAATAGAAATGAAGAGCGGCAAACAATGCTTTATTAAGAAGCACTTACATCATAAGCTCCAGACTTAATTTGGCTGTACAAACGATTTTGGTCCTCATCCCAAAATGGAGGGTATCCGACAAGAAGGATATACAGAATAACACCTGTAGAGAATGAGAAAGATAAAGAAAACAATTTCACGGGGCATATTAATAAGAATTTTTGTGAAATGAAGCATTCATATATAAAAAACGGCAATTTGGGCAAAAAGGACCGTATGAGACGAAATATGCACAATGCTGCGCATTGACTGATTTTGCAAGCAAAGTAACGGAGCCACCTTCCAAACGTACAACTCTAGTTGTGATTAAGCTTAGATGGAAAAGTGAATTTTTATCAATTTTTTTCACGAATATTACTTCCGGACAATAAGGATAAAGAAGCACACATCATGTTCACTCTTTACCAGCAAGAGAACTAAAATATGCTCAATAACACAATATTTTTATCCTGTAACGCAATACATTTTAGATGTGTCCAACGAATTCCCAGGGTGTTTAAACAATGAATTAACTAGTTTAATATATACCGTCATACCTAATAAATGTAGAAACGTTACTTATTATCGCCAAAAAACACTTAATTCATGAATTTGAAACTAAATATTACAATTTAATACGTGGACAATAGACGATCATATAACTTGAAGCATTCAGAAGTGAATATCTCCGTCATTTTACGCAGAAATCTACATCCAAAAAGTATACTGTAATCATCGAGCTATTGTGCTATTTGCCGGATGCCTTACACATAAAATTGAATACGCCTAATTGAAGATCATGAAAGGTATATAACTTCAAGTTTTTATCAGTGATTTTCACTTTTTGCTGATTATGTATCATGCCAGTAATCTCCGAAGCTTCATTTTTAGGTAGATAAATACTTCAGATATTAACGACATATAACTTAGGTAGCACTTTTCCAAAGAAAACAATTCAAGTCTTGAACGAAGCTTTTTGTAATATGTTACGTTTTGAATTTCTGGACATCTTCACAGTTGTATGTAAACCCTAATCGACAGAGGAAAGTTTATATTAATTCGCCGACCACTGAAAGTTTGCGACGCGCTTCATCTTTATAAATCCTTACGGTACAGCTACTGTGTTTTTATCTGTAGACTAAGTTCTTGAAAAGTATTCGGATTTATTCTTGGGACGGATAGATCTAAATGAAACTGATATGCTAATACTAGTAGTACATGTACCGGCTTACCAAACACTGTTTTAAACGGTCAGTCTATTATACTGATGACAATATCGATAAGACGAATAGTTATAGGAAGAAATGAATTTAAAGATTATTCTAGAAAAACTACCATGAATTTTCTTACAATTTTTATAGTTAATCTATTGGTTGGGTAAAAATTCCTACGAACTATCACATGGAAGATTACATCCTGTTTCATTCACAATTATTTTCATGTAATCAGTAATTCAAAACGTTTGATTACATTACGTAAGAATAGTTCAGAAGTAAATTTTAAAAGTCAATGCTTTGCGAACAATATGTCCACAGTGAACTGATAGTATGTACTCACACTGTCATCCTAATTTTTACCTAATTTTACTATCTTCCCGATGCTAATTATTGTGAGTGACTATCAGTTAGACCTTCTAGCCTATTCTTTTGGCTTAAATGTATGGAACGACTGTTGTCAATATTTCGATTATTGTATATACATTAAATAAAGATGTGATACTTGAAAGACGAACTGTCTTACACAACGCAATTCACAGATTTTGGATACTAAGCAAATCTGAAGTATTTAGAAGAACAACACACAGGTTTTTAAATCGATGAAGACATGCAGAGAATATTAGTGGGAAACAAAACACATTTCATACTATCCTTCAAAGGATTACCAGAAATCTGATAATAGTGATAAGGTAGAATTTAAACAAGAAATATTTGAAGTTCAGTCGCTCGTATTGAAGAAATGCCATAGAACACTGCCATGGAAGACATAGTTGCTGAATGGCACAAACAATGCATAATTTGACTTATAAAGGAAAGAGATTTCGCCAATTAAATCAAGGAGATGCAACAATGTAGGAAACAGACGCTTTCTTAGTGTAAATATTATAAACCTAAATAATAAAGATATCAGTGGATCACCTATACATTTTCACTATTTATAATCTTTGCATTTGAGAATACATTCACATAGAAGATATGGTGGTAGTAGTAGTTTTAAAAGGAACAATTTTAATAGAGGTAAAGTGAGGCGTTTACTTTTTACGAATTAGGGGTCCACATAATTTGCATTTGTAGAATAACTTTTAGGATGAAGAGAATGAAATAGTACTAATAACCTTAGAAACTACAATCACCCCGTGATGGCAAACACTCAGGAAAACATTTCTCATGACAATCGGACAATCGATATTGTTGAAGCTAGAAAATTAGCCATTAGGTTGCTCAAGCCATGGACAGTTTCTGAATCTAAGAAAATGGATTATCGTAGAAAAATATCCCCTTTGCGTTACAATAAAACTAAATGGCATTGTTTAACAATTCATTTGAGTTGCGTTGATCAACAAGATCTTCTAGGTTAATTGATTTTTCAGTAATAACCTAAATTTATCAACAGACCATTCACGAACACTAGGAAACACCGAACTTCAGTAATATTTGTAAAAAAACACAAAGTATGCAGACATACAGCGTGTACACCTGTCGAAAAAATCATTAGTACTAATACTGAATAATACTGGCTAAGATAATTTGATAAATTTTGGAGTTTTATCGAGTAGGTTACATGTAACTCTTTATTTTCCTAAATGTCTGTGATTATTTACCATCGACATAACAGCCGAAGTAGAAAACTATGGCTGTAATAGAAAAGCGATCACATTAAAACATATATCCCCATGGAAAATATGTAGATCGAAAGGTGTACAGAAGAACAAGGTCGTATATGTTATTAGCATTACTTAACAACTGTTAAACTATAAAGTAGAGAAAGATGAGTGTCGTGAATTCTGATGTTTTAAACAGTTTACATCCCACACGCTGTAAATACAGTTATATACTGACTGTAAATCACAACAAAAATTTTAAATATCCTCCAAAATTCTAACCATGGAAACATAACATTTCCGACACATTTAGTGACAATTGTGAGTATATCTTGTTAATGTCAGTGCACATTCATTGCACTTTGATGATGACTCAAGTAGGTTACTTAAAAATTCATTGAACAGTATTTGGAGAGAATTAATTCATTTTGATATGTCTCACACTAATAACAGTTTAATAATTCTGATTTAACCTGAACTGTTGTAATATCAATATTAAATACTTGAAGTTTTATGCAAGCTGCAACTTCTTCGCGAATCGCCCATATTTTCTGGAAGACGACAGGGTTACAGTACGTAAAACACAAGGAAACTGGAAATGTCAATTAAAGAGCATAAAAAAATTGGAAGAGCAAAGTGAAATTCACGACTACCGAACTATACACGTAAATTCAATATTTAAAAAAAACAAAAAAACAAGTTAATAGTAGAATGATCATGAACTACAGATACTTACCACATGCCCAAACGTCTACAGCTTTACCATATGGTTCTTTACGTAAGACCTCTGGAGACAGATAACCAGGAGTCCCAGCAAACCCTACGACAGCAAAGAAAATAAAGTCATACTGTTAATAACAGACAAAATTTCAGAGCAAAATGTTCATTCGTTAAACACCAAAATCGAGTTATATCAGACTCATCTGGATCACTATTCAATTGTACGTCTTTATTATATTCAAAACTTGTTTGGTTTGGCTAAGACCTGCAATAGTGATTACTTTGATTTTCTGGTGGAAGTATGAGAATTAAATATTCTATAGTCAATTAAACGATAAGTGAGGCTCTTCCAACACTTATAATCACAGTATATTAATTAAACAACTTCCAGATTGTTGGATATTATTTTTTATTTCTTTTGATGTGAATGTAATAGTAGTAGTAGTGGTAAATAAGAAATATATAAAACGAATATTAGATTATTTCTAAAATCTAAATTATTATTATTATTGTATCCTTTAATTCCTAGAGGAACATAGGGCTTCAGCTATGCGTCTCCATTGCGTTCGGTTCTCTGCTAGAGTCTTCACCTGGCTCCATGTCTGCCCACACGTTTTCATCTCCTCTTCACATGACCTCCTCCAAGTCACCCTTGCACTGACGACTAACTCACCGCTTCCCTTTCGGGTTCCACTCAAGGGCTTGTCTAGTGATGTCACTTCATGGTTTCCTCAGAGTATGGCCAATCCATCTCCATTTCCTTCTGCATATTTGTTTCACAATCGGTTGGTTTGCTCCCAGAGATTCCTGTTGCTGATCTTTTCTGGCCATCTGATCTTGAGTAAAATCTAAATAAACGCAGTTAATAGCAATTTCCAGAAGACAGTAATTCAGTACAGATTCAAATGATGTGGTATGCCTCCTCAAGATCGCACTACTAATACAAGAATCAGGAGGATACAGCTTCAGTGGTTCGATGTGAAAGCGTGTACCACACTAAATCACTTATGATGGAGAATTCTTCTAGTATTTTAAACACCCGTAGGATATTAATATTCTTAAAATGAACAGTTCTGTGTCGCTGAAAGTTACTGCCAGTTGCATATCCACAACCATAAGAACCACATCTGAGAAAAGCTTCGTCATACACCTTTACATATAGTCTAAATCACAAAATAACCCAGTTGATAACATGAAGATAACAGGCTTTTTAAACCATGGAGATGATTTTGCAGAAACAAAACCTTCGTTAGTAAGTTTAGCCGCGTAAACATCAAGGTTCGGATCACCTTCTGCAAGACACAGAAAATATACATTTCCTAGCAAACGAACAATTAAAGCAAACAATTCGCATACAGAACTCTATACATCAAAGGCATACAGATTTAAAACTCAGTGGATTTGCTGATTAATACTGACAGTTAGTTACAAAGTACACTTTCTTAGCTGTGTCTATAATTTCTACCTGTTTTAGAGAAGTAAAATGAATTTATTTTAGGAAATGTGGGCAGGATGGAAGTATAAGATTCGAGACTTTTCACTCATAAGACAACCTTGTTCTGTTGAAACTAAAGACTAAAAGACATGAATTTTCAGCCTCAGTGAAGCAAATCAGTTACGAACACATGCACACACTAACAAATAGCTGTTCTTCCAGCACACATACAATTGGTATCAGGAAGACAAGGGTAGAAACACATGTTCCGAAAATTCAGAACGATGTCTCTAGCTATATTGATACATTTTCATTATTCAGTTGTACCACATGATCTAGAAAATCTATTATAGAGAATAAGTAAAGTCTAAGGAGCAAGAGTCGGAAGTATTCTTATTAAGACGGAAAATCAAAGAAAGTATAGAAAAAAATAGAAATGAATGTCTTCCTTACAACAAGCCACAATGTATTATTCACAACACATGTGCTAAAAACCACAGAAATAACGATACAGTGTAGCTAAGCTAAAACAATCTTTTCAGCAGTATTATGAATAAAACACAGCGTAGAAGTAATGCAATAAGTATGCGGTAGGTGCACACACACACACACAGTAGTGGAAAATGTCCATCAAAAGGACGTAACAACCAAGTTTAACGGATTGTTTAGGCGATATAGGTAGAAAAAACAGCGACACACTAATGATAAGTATGTGACTGGAAAACTAGAAAATTAGTATTGTGGTTACGATATATTAATTAATGTCATTATTTATTTATTTACGCATTCCAACTATACAGCAGAAATACCAGATAGTGACATAAAAGCAGCAGTATACCATTATAAGGACAAAAAGAGATAACAATGCAACTCAGTTATTTGGAAAAAATGTTTTGTATCAGACTCAGTTGTAACTTGTATGTAGGATTTTGGAAGATAATCAGTTGTTCAGGCCAAAGTAAAGAAAGTCGAGGGTCTTATTCATCAGCTGGGCTACAAAATAAGTCACTCAAATATATTTTATCCTTCCTATAAAACGAAATAATTATTTGAAATACAGTCAAGCAGTTATGAATTACATATGTTACTAGCCTACTAGCCTAGTGTCAAATATATGAGAACTCGTACAAATCATGTATTTTGCTAGGTAAACGTACCGAACCAGGCTGGTTGGTCACCTTGAACTTCTATTGCTAAACCGAAATCGGCCAGTTTCACAGCAGCTCCTTTCGACTTACTGGCAAGTAATAAATTTTCTGGCTGTAAAACAAGATTGATTTTAAAAACTATTCATATGCTTTAGATTAGCTAAAAATAGAATAGAATGAGAAAAATTACAATGATAATTTACCATTACCTACCTGGTTCAACAAACAAAAAGCGAATTCAGTATATACAGATAGAAATACGTTCAACATAATAAAAAAGAGTATCGTTGGAATGAGATACTTGGTTGCACAGCAACATTCTAACCCACAGTCTGTCTTTGAAGCTGATGAAATTATGACCTTAAGAATGTGAACATCTACGCTACATGATGTTATCTGAAGAGATTGAGTCAATTATGTGATAAGTTCCTGGTAGTCGGCCAAAGAAATTTACCTTAAGCCAATTCAGAGTACTTAATTTAAAAATGGACACAGTTCAGCCAACTATTCAAATACATGATTGGTTTTCAAAGAAAAGAACTGAACTCAGGGTGAAGAAAAAGCCATGATGTAGAGCAGAAAGTTTTGATTTCCGAAAACTGAAACCAGTCGGATAACTGCATGGAGTGTACGATCTACACCTGTAGTTTCATTCCATAGTTTAAATTATACAAATTCCTATGAGTACTGTTCCAGTCATATCTGTGTTAAGTAACAATATATTCGATATTTTTTAAGCTACAAAAAGCTTTATATTATTACAATGACACGTCACGGTGAAACAGAACATGTTCAGACAGCAATATCTAAATCTGTACCCTTGTAATATCAAACGAATTACAAAGTCCTTTTTAAATCATAAATCAAGTGCCAACTATAATAAATGAATACATACAAAAGGCAGACATCACTGGCTGTATAATCCTAAGAAGTAAGAAACTACACAGATCACAAACGCTTTTTACAAATAAACAGTCGACCACATGCACACAGTGTATGTCCTAATTATCTTCAACGGTGCTCCTTTTCGTCTGTATCCTTCTTTTCGCCAGCTCCTCTTAATGCTAATCGATAAAAGGCTATTCAGACAATACGAACTACATCATACTCAAAATATAAGAAAAGTATTGTGTTACTGTGACTGACACTTCTGGTAATTGAAATATGTAACCAAGACCCTATTGCACCAGTTGACGAGTATTTAAATATGTCGATGTGGCATGAAAAGTTAACAGTATTCTGACGAACGTGCAACAAAGTATAAATACTTTGAATACGCAATAATGCTACGGTGAAATAAAATAATGTGGTATTTAAAAGGTAATTTAAATGTTTACATTTAGTCATATTCATCTAATTCCCAACCGTTGGTTAGCTTTTGCCGTTAATAGCCACTACACACTTCTGGACTCATTCAATGTGAAAACCATGAGGAGAATAAAATGCAGTGGTTACTGCTATTGGTGAATATTAAAGCATAGAGATAGTTAAACATCAACTATTTAACAATGAAGATAGACATGCTGCGTAGTACTGGGAACGAAAACAGTTCACCATTGGAGTATCATATTGTACATTCCACAGAAAGGTATTACCAGAATCTTAGTGGATTTTGTTTAATCACATATATTGCTTTCAGTAATGGAAAGTGAGGAAAATAAATTTGTCTACAAAGTAACCGAAGTAGTTCGTGCTTTTTTTGTATATAAAAAAACAATAAGAAAACACGCTTGTGATAAGAATGGAGTGAAGGAAGATAAGATTAACGGGAGATATTTCTCATATTCGTGAGACAAAACAAAGTTACAACTTTGTTTTTGATACATGAAAGGAAAATTATCAGGGTAAATGAAATTCTAGTACCGGAACACAACAGTGAACATACACAGACTTCATGGTCACATATGTTTGCTTGTGAGAATCATTTGAAAAATGCTAAACTAATGCAGAGAAACTTTTTGAGTTGGTTTAAGCACTTAGTGAGCCACATTTACTCAGTCTGTTCCCCTTACACCCCGTTAATGTACTTAAAGCAAATGAAGAACTTATTTATCTCCTACCAATGGTTGTCACACAAATAGTTTACAGCTGTTGACTGGAGTGTAAGCTAGATGAATGTCATATTCTAAGGTAGTTGGTTCGTCTCGCTGAGTATTTTCTTGTCTAGTGGAATACTGACAAGACGGCTTTGTAATTAGATTGACAATATGACCATTGCGAAAAATGTCATTTCAATAAGTTCATGTAAGCTGGAATTACACAGAACACTAATTTATGTGTATTACGAAAAAATAAAACCCTATATTAAAAAGAAAAAGTTTACATGTATGCAATGAACAACAGAGTATGACTAACCTTTAAGTCTCGATGTACAATATTATTTTGATGGCAGTAGTTCACACTCTCGATGATCTGCTGCATACAATTGCTGTAGAAAAGACAACGATTATAACGACTATCATCTTTTTCAGAATTATAATATTAATAGTAAAATGTATGATGAAAAAAGCCCCATTACTGTTTGTTTGATAGTCGGAGACATTGTACAATATATCACCGAGAAAAAAAATGACAGCAATGTAAGGAATAACGTATATCAGTCAAAATGCGGAAACACTGAAATCATTTGAATATTTGCGAAACATAATCTTAATGAACAGTAAAGAACATAAACCCACCTAGCATCCGCTTCACTGTAGAATTCTCGAGCAACTATATCTTCGAAAAGTTCACCACCGGTTACTCTAAAAGTAAGATTCCAATGGTTTTAATAATTCTTTGTGATAAATTGGATACATAATTAAGAAAGTCAATGAAACTAATGACGAAACAATTGCTTTCCAGACACAAAATTGAATAAATGCTATACGAGTTAAACCACCATATACTTATAAAAGTTTAAACTGAGTAAATAATCCTTTGTGCAAACAAAGACACTATAAGCAAACGAAACACGGATGTATTAACTAATCAAGATTACTTCCCAGTGAAAATCAGTGAAAAAACAGGAAAACGTTAAGTATGGTATGAGACGAGTAATGCTAAAATAAACTGATGAAATCAGTTAGCATCTCGATGCGTAAGCTCATAGTTGTAACTTCTAATTAGGTGGGGGTGTTACATTTGTTGGGAAAAACGTTAACTAGGTGACTCCTCAAAATGTAAATAATTACTTATGAGTTACTGCTTACGAAGGTGTCAAAATGAATAGCATAAGTAATACTTGTTTTAAAAATGTCCCTTAAATACCCTAAAGTTTGACAGATATTTAAAAATTCGATTTCTATTTAACTCTAGGAAGATTGTATTTTTAAGACGTTGTCATTGGAGAAAACCGTTCGCATTAAAAAGCAGATAAATTGTCAATCATCTGCACAATCTTAAAATGCATCTCAAGTGAAGCTTTATCGAGATGAGAGGAAACAATAGTACCAACCAACATTTTGGTGCATATACCTTTTAATACGATAATAAACTATGAGACATACTGGGAAATATAAATGGTATATATATATATATATATATATATATATGTTAACCGTATGATTGATTATTAGGTTACACCAGTGGCACTAAACCACATATTTGCTGTGAACCAACGTGAAATTAGCTGTCAATTGTGATTCGCAAACATTTGGTTGTCTAACGATAGATATAACGGTTAAACCTACGGTTCAGGAGCTTTTGTCTATGCTAGTACACAGGTGGACATTAACGATATGGCTAGGACCTCCTCTTTTATGGCCAAGTGAGGTAACCATTGAAAGTGGAAGATGTGAAAAGGTTAGCTGTATTTGATCTGAGGTGTTGGCGTTCCATTTCCCGTGTTAAGTGGTATAATACGGTGAGCAATATTGAGGTTAGGCGTCCAGTTTTAGGAAAGAAGGGAAAAATCAATCGACGAAGTTGTGAAGCCATATCGATTGAGATGACTAGTACACTTGTCGTACATGCCTAGTCATCGCTTACTTCGACGGCCAATCTTAACTGATATAGGATTAGGTTGATAAAGAGCTAGTAGTGGCCAAACCAAAACTTGGCATCAGTTCACGAAATCATTGACAGTTAGTTTGAGCCATGTAGGGAGGTATAGAATTCTTGGTTGAGGTCCTCAGGATACTAAGAACTAATGACTGAAGACATTTCTTGATGTCACTTGAAATCGTTCTCAATTGAGCAGATGCATTCACTCTTTGTGACCTGCATATCCCCATTGTTTTCCCATGGTACTGTCCTTCCGCCCTCAGATTTCCGTTTACTATAGTTCTCTCGGATCTCTTTTTTTCTCTTTTATCTTCCTTTGTGCGTTACACGGAGTGTGGCAAAGTGGACTGTTTCACTTCTATGCAAACTTCAACGCTGAAACCAGTCAGTTTGGGCCTGGTATTATTATGTAATGCTTAAAGATGCCCTTTTACACCAAAGAAAATCAAGCAGATAATATGAGGTAAGACAGAATGTGAAATCTAAACCAACGAAGGTTGCGAAACACTAGTCGATACGAATGAGATTAGACTATGTATATTCGGAATAACAGTTCACATGATGATAATGCATGGAAAAATCAAAGTTACTGTATTTATTTCTGAGGTTTGTCAACCTCCAACCATTTGTTGACAATACAATCGCTACACCAACCAATATGAATGTGCATGCACTTCTACAGGAAAATTAAAAGCGCTAGTGACATAATTGTACTGACTCATTCACCTTAAGATAAATTGCCTAAATATCTCTCAATCCGAAAGTAATACAGAAGAATGGTCACAGATATACTGTTACGGAGACGTTTACCACATTATCTTTATGGTGACTATATTATACATAAGAGCTCCTTTACTGGTGAAATTGAAAACGCCAGTTGATGTGAAAACTGAATAGCAAAATTAAATGTTCAAAACTTTCGGATCATACTGTTGTTAAGTATAATAATAGTTGTAATTTTCACGTAAAGCCAACAAGTATTCTTTAAGATGAGCATAAATGTAATAGGAGCAATGATATGCACAAAACGTCAAATTAACAACCAGTAAAAACAGAAAAACTGATGCTACTGAATTAGTCATTTTCATAAGGATAAGTATCGATGGTGTTACTGGGAACCGAAAACGGGAAACCATATCCTTTAATCTCAACACAACAACATACGACCACAAATCAAAAGAAAGATGTATCACGGAAGGAACGCTTATAACCACTTGGACTAATCAAAACAACTTGGATTGCTGCACAACTGTGAAGTTCTGCGATGAAAACTCATTCAATCAAAACGAAAAACAGTTCCACTAAACTTATCAAAAATTAATTCCCAATAGGAGTAATATATAAAAACTCACAAGTCAAATACGAGATAGTGAAAACCTTCATCCTGAATGTTGTCGTGTAGGCGAACTGTGGAGATAAATAGGTGTAAAAGGGATAAATGAAAGCAAGTAAAACATATTTCTGTTTAAATAATACAAAGACGTTGAAGTTTCTGTAAATTGCAGAGATTTTATATACAACAAATAGCATCTAGCATGGTGGCCTTATTGCGAACTTGACTGATAGAATTCAGTCTGCGGCAAGCAAAGGATTACATACGTGACGTAGGTCACTATCTAGTGTTCAGTCAAAAAGGGATTTCTGATGAAGCTAGGATGAAAGGTCACTTCACGAATTTAGGTATAAAAATAAGGATTAAGGTTGCTAACGGCTCGTTGGAAACTGAAATACTTCATCATAAACAGACACTTTTCCTGTTTAGCCAATTGTTCTTACCGAAGGAATATTAATACAGTTGCAAAACACGCGAGGCTGACGGCCTCAAACACGAATCGATGAGTATATACACATATTTCCGACTTAGTTTTATAGCGTATGCAAAAAAAATACCTGGTTTCGTTAAACATTTTGGGAAGGAATGAATACTTCAAGATTGTAGAAGTCAGAAACATTGTCCAGAGAATATATTAAGTTAAAAAGTTTGGAAATTGAAATTTGTTTACGCGTGCAGTAGTAAAATATATTTGTATTACGGTGGCAGTAGACCCCAAAAGAAGCTAGCAATGCACTACGGTTACAAATGAAAGCGATTAAACCCTGTATGTCTTGCTAAAAAAACACCGTATTTATTATCATTAAAAGTGAACTGAGATCTTCGCATATAATATGAGACACTAAAATACCCTCATTGGACTGCTGAAATAATCCTACGAATAAAAACTTGGCAATTGATGAATTCCACTTTCACACCTATATACTAGTACTTATATTTGCCGTAAACATGTTGCAAAATAGATGGAAATGCATCGTTAATAATTCAGAATTGATTGCTGAACATCCACCTTAAATGCTTTTGTACAAAACTGGTAACGATGACATTTGTCCAAGATATTATAAATTGCGAAAATACCACTAATAGTGAAGAGAGGACTCACGAAAAACACGGCTAATAAGTCTTAACCGTCATGATTATTCTTAACACTATCAACTTGATTGAAATGTAATTAAATCCCTAGTAGTTGTAATAAAAAAAATGCTACAAGGGTCCCGCTGCTACAAAATACGAAATATTAATGAGCAAGCTAACTAGATGTATGGACACTTAAACAGTGTAAAGTTAAACTTACCTATGTTGGGATGTTTCAGGAGTCTGCAAATTCTTGCTTCGCGGTCTAGCTTTTGCATATCTGAAAAGTCACAGGAAATTCGAATTGTTAGAAAAACGGCAGTAAGGAATTTGTGAATCTAAGAGTACCAGAGATCAGCTTCCTGAAAAAACTCGAACTGCAACTTGGAATACAATTTATCTGTATTTCATTACACACACTACTCGGCTAAGCTTCAGGAAATACTGACCTTAAAAAGGTGCGTACTCCGAAACATTGGCCAGTAGTACAAGTTAAACCTGCAAGTATGTAGTCGATGAGTGTGCTAAACCTTTAATAGAAAACCGTGAACCTGACATTAAAGGCAATTACAATAGTCAGCAAATGTACCGACCTCCTACAGATAAACGTAACTGAGTCAATAAAGCAAAGCCCAAACTCACTAATTGCCGGAAATTCATTGTTTTTGTAATCACTTTTAATGTAGAACAATCGCTATGCTGCTTATGGTACGTATACCTGACATCCCCTAAATGCCATTTAAATTGGATACATACGCAAACCAAACTAAACAACTGGAAACTACACCTTAATGCAACTTCTATGAGTATTCGTCTCATACCAATAGAGAAAGTTTCCTGGAGATTTTGTGAAACTAAGCCTCCCTACACGCCTAAATGTCTCCCAATTCTGATTCTGTCTCGGCAAATCAAATTAGCGAGCTGAAGAATACCTCAATAATTAATTTTCAAATTTTTTTTCCAAGTAATTTTGCATGAACTTCGACAGAACTGTAAAACGTTATGAAAACGAAACGAAACATAAGTATTCAGTGTATAGATATTTAATGGATTTCAAGTGCTTGTGACAAATACAAACGTACCTCTGGTTGACAAACGTTTAGTATTTATGATTTTTGCAGCGAACTCTAGTCCTGTTGAGAGCTGAACACATCTTCTGACTATGGAAAATGCCCCTCTGAAACAGAAAATGAAGAACATACATTGAGAAACGGATAGTGAATACCAAGAGAAGTTTAAAGCATCAATAAGTACTAAAACTTACCGTCCTATTTCTTCCTTCAAATCATATAACTCAGAAAATCTTGGAACACTCGTAGCCATTTTCCGAGAACTAACCGAAATACCCTCCTAAACTTGTCAATGAAAAACAATTATTGACGGAGAGTCTATGGTTCAATGTTCAGCTCATGGTTCAATATGATTTCCCATTAAGATAGAATAAAATTCATGAACACATTCCCTCCCATTAAGTCCGTAAGGAACCAAATCATAGGTTTTATCCCTTAAAATCAAGCTAACAGCTACATTACGAAGAACTTCTTATAATGTTACCAACTTACTGTTTCAACCCTTATTTTCATTCCTATCTTTCACGAACTTTACAAACACGGTCTTCCCGATGTTGACTTTTCTCAGTATCATTGTATTCTAGAGAAGGAGAAACTTCAGTGTGCTTTACATCTACAGACGAATACTTTCCCACGAATATTGTAAATCACCTAAATGGCATGAAGCATTAATCATAAAATCCTACTTAGTAGATTTACTTTGTAGCCGCTGACAGCTACATTTTTAAAGTGCAGTTTCGCCGCCACTGATTATTGGATGCTCATCTTCACTGTATATTCTACTGTTTATGCTGAAAGGGCGTAGTCAAGCACACGCCACTGAAGGATGGTATCCGCATACTGCAGTTTTATGCACCCCATATAAAAAACAAAGCATTTATTGAAACTTAGAACAGCGACATTTTCCTTCACATGTATCTTTTGGAGTATCTTTTGTGGGCCCTGCTGAAACGCAGAATACTGGCGAAATTAAGGAGGTTGGAAAAGTCTCTAGGTAAAGGCGGTTTTGTGGTTTGCTAGTATCCTCCCTTTCGTTTGCTTTGCTTTTTGCATGTGTTCATAGCAAGCGAGACAGTTACGCATAATAATGGATACAATTTGCATTAAAGTGATGCTATTGGGGATAAAATGAACTAGTCCATACGTAGGTGGGCACCACATATTTTGCCTCTACCTAGAGATAGAAAAACTGTTGTGTATTGTTCCGGCTAGAATGAACAATTTTGTGGTAGTCAAAATATGCACTGTTTATGTATGTCTGTAATTTTAATACATCTGCTAATAGGTGCGAGTGTATTATTCACTCCTCATTAATCCAGTAATGTTGACTGAATCCCGGCCACCAAACAAGGTAGGGATAGCCTTAAGGTTTTTATCAGTCAAGACGGGTGACCATTGAACAATTACAAGCTGAACCCAACTAGTTGACGAGCTCACACTCTTCAACTCGCCTCAATAAAATACTGTTTCTCTTGTACTTATTTCTCCTTAGTCGCTTAAGGGTCAGCAAGATACTGTAAGCGATACCTTTGGCCCTTCTTCTAATATGACAAGAGTTGTGTGTGAGTAAAAAGCAACATCAGATTTCCTAACCAATTAGCTGGTAGGCACGTAAGTTAATAAAATTTTTTTTAGAAACGAAATCAGCCCTTTAATTATCAGTTCATTCAGCAAAATACTGAATTTAGAACATGACAGTCCACACCAGGGGGAGTTTATTCCTAGTTACAGGTTATTCCGTGGAGATCAAAGAATATCGTGAATTCAGATAAACCTTAGCGTTTTCTCTTTCACGTATCGATTCCCTTATCTCTGCGGGTTTGATCAGATTTCGGACAACTAGGTCTACAAGGGCAAGGGCTTGACTGCACTGTTTTGGCGTGACTGTGTATCTCTTTACTCTCTTCATACCATCGCTAATAAATGCATCCTTAGCTGGCTCAAGTGTTATACATCCTCTAAGCGGGATGATATAAAGAGCAGCCTGGCCACAAAGTAAGGTGGGCCACTTCTCAGAGCACTTTTGCTTTTGTTGACCATTGATTCGTGAAACGAACAGAACTGTACGCCTTAAGCTGGTGTGCTGAGTCCTTCGATGAATCAGTTCTCACGAATTCCCAGGCACTTTTACAGCAATGAAACAGTAAACACATTCTCAATTTGTAGAATCAAGTATTTCGAGGTAAATAAAATCGTAAATGAATGGATTTAGATGGCTCGACTTTGTTACAGAATTTCGGAAACTTTAAAAGCAAGGTTTGTAAAACTCAAATGATCAGCACCAATCTAGTATACAGTGAAATTGAGATAATTACGAAGTCCTTTTGGACACGCTGCTAATTTAACAGCTCGGAATGAAATCAACATTATACTGGTAAAGGGAATATAATCGTGAGGTGGTTCGCTTGTTTCCCCTTCCACACCACTGATCGATATCATAAACTCGGTCATGGTCTAAAAGTATAAACTTATGAAAAACAAACATGATTAATTTGAGCTTGGAATGACATTCACTCAGTAACGCAAGCCATTAAATCTGTACAATCTGATGAATGCCCCTCTAATAATTTGCAAAAAGTACAATCTGAGTCCAAAAGATAAGTTTCTCAAGTGTCCTTAACAATAACCAGCACCATCACCCGAATATTATTGTTCTTATAACCATTTAAAGTATTGTGAGGGGTGAGTGCACTATTTTACATTAGTTCTCGTCGTTCGTATTACTTTTCGCTGCCCTAATTCCGACCAGTGCGTCCGACTAACTTTAATCCGCTGTTCATGTCATATCGCTTTTTATGCGTCAACACTTATATTTCCCAAATAATGTGCGATTCGCCTGTAAAATGTCAACACCATCGTTGAAATATTTCCATAGGCTCATTATCCATTCTGTACGCTTGTCCCCATCCGTTATCTAGTTGTATTAGCCACAAATGCCATTTCTTCAGCTTCTGTTCCCTTTGAATCTAATAGGTGACTGAAAAATTATAGGTCGTTAAAAATCCTATAGAAACCTTCAGGTAACCAAATAACAAACAAGTTTCAACACCAAGCAAATTTTGACGACCACTAGATCAGGTGTCTGGAATACCTTTGAATCTTATAATAATGATTTTATTTCCTAAACAGAAACATTTCGTTCTTACGGGCATGAACGTGTTTACTTTAGTTATAATTACATTTACTTATAAATACTTATAATTGTGATACGAATTCTCGGTATAAATTGAGAGTGAACATCAGTTTAAATAGCAAGTGCAATGAAGAGCACACACACATGGGCATATAATTGATGAAACTGCCACCTAATCGAATAATTTATAGGGTATTGAGTTTTAGAGGCGGAAGTTATTGACATTCACAGATAATACGAAGTGTACTAACGCAAGATTTATAGTATTCGTTCCGCGTAGACCAAAGACAAAGCAAAACACCAGAATTACGAGTTAAATTTCGCGACCAAATCAGAGTGCAAGATGATTGCTTGATTAGCTAGGGATCGTGCACAAACGAACGAACGTGATACTAAGGAGTACCAAACGGCGTGGATGCTAGAGAGGAAGCCTTCAGCTAAACAAGTTGACTCAAACAGTGAGGGTCAGCATCTAATGTTCAGTGATGAATGCTGTGGCCAGTAATTCTGGGAAACACCTATCTCTAGAAGCCTAATCAAAATGTCAAGCTACAGTACACCGGTTGTATTTCACGCGTAATTCAAGAAGGTGATAGGTAAGTAGTGGTCCGATACACTGTTACTTAAGCGAAACGTGGATGCTCCAGAATTCACCTTTGTTATCACTTTATGAGGCGTAGAACGTCTGCAAACTCATGAAATTCTATAGTCACCAGAAGTACAGCATTATTGTGACGTTGGTAGTCATATTTAACTAGCTTTGATAATGTCAGCAGATTTCGTGATGCAATCTGTTCAGATCTTCGCCAGATGTGCTAACAATATCCCGAATATCTGCAGAGCGTAGGTGATCATGATTTCAACACTCCTTCTGAGTAGTATTAATTCAGAGGTTAGTATCGCTGTATTATTGCATTGGTCTAGAGAAGTACCTGAGAGAAAGGGAGACAAAAGAAAACAACAAGAACTGCGCAGAGGTAGCCAAAAAATGTAAATAGTGTAAAATAAGCAGTGCGGTTTTACTTTTTCCCAAGACGTTACAGCTATGGAATTTTATGATGTTTCTCACTAACGATCTAATAATAATAATAATAATGGCTTTATTCCAAACAGTATTTGTGGTACAGGTATGGAATTTTCAGCGTTCATTACAATATTGCATCTAATTACCTCATAAATTTTATAAGGATTTAGAAATATAAAGCAACAACAACAAAAAGAAAAAGAGAAATAAAAGAAATAAAATAAAAAAGTACAGCATTGCATTCACATATTTAAACAGTGCACCACAGGATACGATATATAAAATTAGTCTGTAATAGAATATATGAGAAGCAATATAATAGTAACAAAGAAAGGAGAACAAAAGCTAATGGGAACTATTTGTTAGAGTGCCGCAGTAAATTGATCATGTCATGCCTAACAGTTTTCTCATCACATAACAGCTGTGCCAGATAAGGTATTGTGGAGTTTTTATACTTGGTAGTCCTGGCATATAGCTTCCTGTAGTTACTTCTAGTTCTACCAGATGATATGCAAGGAGAGAGCTGTGTATAGAGAGGATGCTCAGGGTCTGACAATATAGTATTCGCTAGTTTCTTACATGACATTATATGTCTATCCACTATGGTGTTAACTAGTTGGTTTAACGATATCCCACTTGCCCTACTAACAGCTTTTAGTGCCCTACGCAGCGAAGCAAAATCTTTCTTAAGTAGTCCTGGAAAGATTAATGGGGAGCAGTAAAGAGGGATGGGTAGAATACAGGAATTGACAAACTGATAAAGTAAAGACTGCTTTATACCAGACTGCCTAAACTTCCTAAGGTAGAACGTTAAGCGAAACATCTTTCTAGTCACTAGCAAGATGTGAGAGGACCAGGAAAGATCGGAGGAAATACTCAGTCCAAGGTACTTGACATCTGATGTAGTTTCAACCTCTATGCCGTCAATGATAGTGGGACCATGTGAGCTAGCTAGTTGTTGAAGGTCACTTTTTCGTCTGAAAGTAAAATTTACTACCTGACATTTAGACGGATTCAGCTTAAAACCGTTTGAAGAGGACCACTGACTAATTTCCGAGAGAAAGTTATTTAATATGGAACAGTCTGACTGAGAGTT